TATATCTATAGGTTAAGATGTGAGTTATGATGATTTCTTTTAAGTAAAAATTTTTCTCAAAAGAAAAATGGGCAAATAAACTTTAGTTCACTTATACTATGGAAATTGACGTGGTCATTAAAAATAATGATCAGAAGAGTTCTCAATTACATAGGCATGGAATGCAGAAACAGTGATGTAGGGTGAAGCTATGGTTTGATTCATTTCAATTATATATAAAAGAAATATGCACTATATAAAGGACAGAAAAACCGCAGAAATGATTAGATGAGTAATGGGATTAACAGTGCGTCTTCATACTTGGCATATTTTAAAAAGGAACATGTGTAAATTTTACGTGAATCTAGTCACAAGGGAAAAAAGTCACATTGATCATCAAAACTGTATTTTGTGAACAGAATACAGTTCACAAAATATTGACCTGATATTATGTAAGTTTGTAAAAATAAGTTGTGAACATTTCCTCAATTTCATTCCAGAATGTGCCAGCAGAACACTGAGAGGATCTAGGTAGGGAGAGTTACCCTGCAGAGGATGAGACTGCAGGAGAGACAAAAGGGTTGACTTCAATATAGGGAAGACCGTCACATAGAAGGAAGGGAATAAAACTAACATTTATTAAGTATTTAATAATGGACCAGACACTTTTTTGAGTGTTATCTGATAAGAGTCCTAAGAGACAGAAAAAAGATAAAAGATGGAAGCACTTTCCTGCCTCAGGGCCTTTGCACAGGGAGTTCCCTCTACCTGAAATGCTTTTGCCTCCCACTCCATGTGGCTGGCCCCCAATTCATCCTTTAGTTCTCATCCCAAATGACTTCCTCAGAAAGATCAAATCTGCAATAGGTCTTTTCTACAGCAATTACTGCAGATTATAGATTCATTTTTTTTTAAGGTCTTTCGCTTAGACTGTAAGATGTCATCAATAAGTATTTATTATTGCGGCGCCTGCGTGGCTCAGTTGGTTAAGTGTCTGCCTTTGGTTCGCATCATGATCCCAGGATCCTGGGATCGAGCCCCATGTCGGGCTCCCTGCTTAGTGAGGAGTCAGCTTCTCCCTCTGCCTCTCCCGCCTGCTCATGCTCTCTCTCTCTCGCTCTGACATAAATAAATAAAATCTTAAAAAAATAATTATTTATTATTGAATTAAGGAAGAGAGAGAGGGAAGAAGGAGACAGGCAGGGAAAGAGGAAAGGAAGGAAGAAGGGAGGCAGGGGAAACTGGTCAAACAGGATGGACCTTGAGGGTATTATGCTAAGTGAGATATGTCAGGCAGAAAAAGACAGATACAGTATGATCTCATATGTCAAATCTAAAACAACCAAACTTCTAGAATGGTGTTTGCCAGGGGCTCAGGGGAAATGGGGAGATATTAGTCAAAGGGTACAAACTTCCCATATAAGATGAATCAGTTCTGGGGACCTAATGTACAGCATGGTGATTACAGTTAACAATACTATATTATACTATATTATATTATTATATATTATATACAATAGTATATTACAAGGGTGCCTGCCTGGCTCAATCAGAGGAGTGTGTGACTCTTGAACTCAGGGTCTTGAGTTTGAGCCCTACATTGGGTGTAGAGATTACTTAAATAAATAAAACTTTTTAAAAAAGTTATTAATAAAAAAGAGAAACAATATTATATACTTGAAAGTTAAGAGAATAAATCTATATATCTATATATTTATGTATATATACCTATTATATTGATCTATATTTTTTTAAGTGCTCCAAGCTGGGCTTAAACTCCTGACCCTGAGATCAAGACCTGAACTGCAATCAAGAGTGCAAACACTTAACCAACTGAGCCACGCAGGTGCCCCACTAGGACAGTAAATCCTACATGTTCTCATCACAAAAAAGAAATGGTAATTATGTGAGGTGTTAACTAATGCTACTGCAGTAATCATTTTGTAAAATGTAAGTAATCAAATTAACACGCTGTATACCTTAAACTGACACAATGTTACATGTCAATTATATCTCAATAAAGCTGGGGAAAAAGAACTATTTAGAGATTTCCTCTTTCTACTTCTTTGCTTGACCTCTAATACCTGTAATACCCTTCCCAGCCCTATCAAACTCTCGAACGTTAAAGTATACCATATGCATCAACCCCCACTTCATGCTCCATTTCCTCCAGAAAGTCTTGCCTAATTTCCTTCACTGGGAATAAGTTCCATCCTTGAACTCTCAGAAGTATTCATACTTTTCTTATAGCAGATAACACTTCTCAGTCTCATATAGTAATTATTCTCACACAATAACCTCACTTTCAAGGAGCTTCACATTAGCTCTTGGTCTGATTCGCTTTTAGTAAATCTTCATCTCATTCACTTTTCTCTCTTTCTTTCTTTTGGAAGAACACACTTTTTCTGAGTATAAGAATTTATATGCTCATTATAGAAAACTCAGGAAATACAGAAAGGTACAAGTAGAATAGCAGCTGTAACTCCACTCTCCTGCAATAATCCATGTATGGAAATAAAATGTAAGACAATATTAAAAATGTATTATAGGGGCGCCTGTGCGGCTCAGTCGTTAAGCATCTGCCTTCGGCTCAGGTCATGGCCCCAGGGTCCTGGGATCGAACCCTGCGTTGGGCTCCTTGCTCAGTTTGAAGCCTGCTTCTCCCTCTCCCACTCCTCCTGCTTGTGTTCCCTCTCTCGTTCTCTCTCTCTCCATCAAAATAAATAAATAAAATGATAAAAATAAAAATGTATTATATATAATACACGATATATGTACACCAGCTCATTTAAAAAACAACACAAGTCCTATTACACACTGAATCCTGACTCTTCTTTCTTCATTTAATGTGAACATTTTTTTTGACTGGCTTATCTTATCTCCCACAGTGCTTGAAATACTAAGAAGCTTCATTTTATATTTTGCTTTGGAAACTCAACCCTAGCAAATCTACCCATTGATAAGACACTATTGCATTTTTGAGAATGATAAAAAAATGTTGCTCAGCATTTACAATATTCTTTCACATGCTGATACATAGTTTATTATTTTTTATTACTCTTTATATTTTCAATAATCCTTAGAAAACTACAAGAGAGAATTCCAGGTCTTGACTTTTAGTAATGAAAAAAGCAAGTTCCCACTCAATTCAAATCCAACTAACCATTAAAAAAAAAGAAACTGGAAATGTGCTTCAGTATATTCCCATGTATCACACACCTGCTGTCCTACCCTAGAATACCGCAGGGGTTCTGTAAAGCCATTCTTTATCCTTTAAGCAATTTTGTACACATCCACTATGAAAATTCTGTCATCAGTAGACAGCATCCCTAAATGATTACATTCAATGATGTTGCACTGGCAAAGCTTTAAAGTAATTAAGAGGCAGTTTTCTCTTGCCTATTCATGTGACAGCATGTACCTTTATGCTTAAGCATCATATTGTGAATTATGTGGGGTAAAGCAGATAACGCAATCCCTACTTTTAAGGGGCAAAGAGAATTAATATTATTGATTACTACCATAATCCAGAAACATGCAAGCTGCTTTACATACATTATGTGATTGAATCTTAAAGAAAGATACTATATTCCCTTTTATAGAGAAGGAAGCTTAAAAAGGTTTAGTAACTGTCCATTACCACACTAGCAAGTAGATGGCAAAAGGAGAGCTCACTCTTACGCCTTTGGCTCTTCCTATTATGTCTTGATTATCGCATAATGAGACACACATGATTTCCTACTATAGAGCCTCTCGTCACTTTTATGTGAATACCTGAGCTTCATTTCCCCTCTGATCAGTGCCCCGGCAATACTGATACCAGGCATACAGAGCAGCAGAACTCAAAAAGCAGACAGCTTCCCGCATTTTCAGATACACCAGGCACTTTTAATGAAACAATTTATACTATTTTCTAGAGAATACAAATAAACTACTTGAGCTACAGAAGCACCTGTCCAAGATAGCATGTCCCACTTCCCTCTGACAGGAGGACAGAGACTGAGTTGTAAGACAGATAGGCCGAGTAGAACATTCTGAATCAATTTCACAGTCTTCCCTTTTCATACTTTTCTCTTTTTTGAAAAACATCAAGAGAAACTAATAATTTTTGGGGTTGTATGCCTACATTTTCAACTTCATGATAAGCAGTCATCAATACACAAATAAGGAGGCCAAATACCACCTTTGTGTCCTATCTACCACGGGAACTTTTGGAAAAAAACATGGAGTAATAATGGCAAAGTATGATCTGACAGAAACAGGATTACTGATATATATTTTATTTATTTCACATTAAATAAGTTTTCTTAAGGTAATGGATCTATCCTCTGTGGAATGTTTTATTTAGAGGAAACAGAGCTGTTTAATAGTGAAGTTAATCATAATTTGGACAGACTTTACAGTTGCCCTTTGACTTACCAATTTCAGTAAGCAAAATTTCAATCAAGCCTAGATACAATACACTAATCCTAAATAGGCCAGGTTTGTCACCTACCATTTCCCATAAGCTGCTTACCATAGTTTAAAAAAAAAGAAAAGAAGAAGAAATTTTAAATTAAATGCCAAACAGTTGCAGACGGCACTTGTTTGGCTGATTAACTTGTAGACAAGCATTACAAATAAATCTGAGCATGGTCTGCAGCAAATTAAATTCCACTGCTTTTAAGAACAAAGAATTCCTTGGCAAAGAGGATTAGCAACTTTACACCCAGGAATGCCAGTTTAATTTAATTGTTCCACAATCCAAGATTTAATATGCAAATATCATTTTGATACATAACAGTGAATTTAACAAAGTGAGGAAACAAATTCAATATACAACCAGGCTGCCTTTTCTGAACTGTAATCATATACAATAAAGAAGTTGGCCGAGTTCCCCCCCCCTCCAGCCCCCATTATCGGGATTGAATTATATTAACATGAATCAGAACAACCGTAATTAAAGGTTAAAATTTTTAAACATATTCCAATTAAGAGTCTAAATAGCTGTACAATTAGAATACTGTAGTTAAAAATCATACCTCAATGATCTTCTTGGCCTCTTTGTAATTTCCTGTTTGTAGGAAGGCGAAGAAGAGATCATATAGCATCGTCATTTCACCTTGTTCTTGGCTCACAAAGTTCATTACTAGAGAGTAGAAGAAAAAATATAAAGAAACACAGTATCACTTGAAGTTCTGGACAAATAAGAAAACTTTAAAACAAATATTTACAATAACTTAAAGACTAGCACTGTCAACCAATTTTCCATCACATTCTTTATCTAACAGCATACATTTATGACAGTAAGTACCTAAGACTAGCTTCAAAGAGAACTGGTGAGGATAAAGGGGGAAAACTCCTCACCAAGGCAGATCACCAAGAAGTAGAGCAAAAAATAATAGAGAGGCAAGTTTGCAAAATGAACAGTTATTAAAATCAAGGATACCTGACAGCACTGAAAATCTACCTGACATTGTCCTTTTTACTTTAGAAGTATAGCAAAGTTCCCGTGTATGTGCTTCCCTTCCTGTTAAATTTTCTCTTCACAGCAATGCACTGAGATTAAATAAGCAAGAAGGGAAAAACAACTACAGAAAAACAACTACAGCAAGATACTGGAGGTGACCAACCTTTATGAATTAGATCAGTCTCGCCTTTGTCTATCAGTTTACATAAGATATCATGAATCCTTGGTAATACTTTATACTTTGCATAGCAGTCGATGGCGACTTCAAGAGCAGCACCTAAGTCATCCCTTGGAAACATCAAAATATGAACAATGAATAAAATATATCTAGAGGTACAAAACGAGCAGTCAAAATGTACACGACTGAGCTTTAAAAAAGCCAAAATGGAAAAAGACAATCCTTATATAGTATAAATAAATGTTCTGAGTACAGACATCATTAACAGTTCCCTATTTTCCCTCCTTCATCTTTCATTATTTCACTTGCTAAATAGCACTCTTTTTATTTTTATTTTTTTAAAGTTGGGCATGGAGCCCAACATGGGGCTTGAACTCATGACTCTGAGATCAAGACCTGAGTTGAGATCAAGAATCGGATGCTAAACCGACTAAGCCACCCAGACGCCCCTAAATAGCACTCTTTAAAAAAAGTGCAAATAAATAAAGGCATTCTCTGAGACTATTATAAATAAAGTCTGATTTCAGGGGTGCCTGGGTGGCTCAGTCAGTTGAGCGTCTGACTTGGTTTCAGCTCAGGTCATGATCTCAGGGTCCTGGGAGAGAGCCCCCACATCAGGATCCACATTCAGCAGGGAGTCTGCTTGCCCTCTGCCCCTCCCCCCCGTTCATGCTCACGCACCCACACGCTCTCTCTAAATAAATATTTTTTAAAAATCTGATTTCATATGTTAAGTTGTCATAAGAATACATTATTTCTAAAAACACAAGGACTACTATCAAATATTTTTTCTAACTACTTATGTGTGTTTACAGTCCTCAATAATTCTAGATTTGGGAAACATTATGAAATGTCTATCAGCAGCTACCAAGGAATTTTCAAGTACTTTCAACTTTATCATCCTATTTTTCATACTGCTACCTCTCCAGACAAGGAGGAAATAATTTCAGGATTCATATATACAGAAACTTATTGAATAGTGGCTAAAAACTCAGACATTCTTAAGATCGATTAGTGAATTCTAGGAGAACCTCATTAGAAGGCAAGCCCCATGCTGAGATTACTTAAAAATAAAATCTTAAAAAAAAATTATTTCCCACTGTAAAGTCAAAGGTTCTCTTCTGTGGTAACAAATTAAAAGAAAGATATTTTCATTGAGTCAGAATTTCTTAAACAAGAGTGTGGAAATGCATTCTTGTGAGTCCTCAAAAACTTTTTCCTTTAAAAGGAAAATGACAGTATGAGAAATACGTAAGACCTTGGAAAAACTGTAGAAGTTATGTGATCCAATTCTACACGCCACCCTCCTTTATTTTTAAATAGATGAGGAAATCAAGGCATGTAAAGATTGAATAATTAGCTAAAGCTATTAGGGTAAACAGAGGAAGGCACTGCTTTCCCACTTCCCACTTTCAGTTGACTCTGTCTACTCACACATTATGCTCTAGCAAAAACACTGCTGCCTGTTTAACCTAATAAGGTGGTGCGATGTGGAATAAGAAATTGAAGATTTTTGAAAAGAAAGTATGAAATATAGAAAGAGACACATGGTTAGTGACAGTTCATCACAAGCTCTGCGGAGAAAACACCTTTCTCTCACATGCAATCGTTTTCAAGAGGAGGAAAGCATTTTTAAAATTTCTGTTGAAGCCCTAACATTTTGGTCCATTATACAAATGTTATGTTGCCTGAGACTGAATTACTATTTTATCTAGATTAAGATTTTAAGCTGTACTGAAAGGAAAATACCACGAAGAAGTGTTAATTTTATTGCAATAATACTGACACAGTGAAAGCGAGACGATCCTGCCAGAGTTCTACCTTATCCCCTTCCTAAGCCCTGTTTACAGTGCATCTTCTGGCACCCCACAGAGTCATTTGAATTTTTGTCATTTGGGGTGAAGACTAAATTACAGGTTAATTTCAAAACCGCAAGTAGATGTTGCAGGCTAGATTACTGTCATACAAGAGAAATGCTACAGTAGCTACCACATATGATATAAACCTTTATATAATCAGTATTTCCCCTTGCTTCAGACACCCGTTCGGTTGTTAGCCTTCTACAATTCCATTTAACGAAAAACTACTACGATATTTTCAAGAGAACAACTAACACATACTGATTTTTTTTTTAAAGGAGTATGATCTGCTTTTTCAGATCAATTCCCAAACTAGAAGAGTATGTCTCAACTGTATTTCCCCTACATTAGGTCAAAGCTATCAATAAAGGAATGAATAATTGTTCTGTCAATCAAAGAGACATGTTAATAGTCTTTGGTCTCCAAATATATGCTTCTGAAGATTATATATGCTCAGAACAACAACAGAAAAGACAAGAATAGCAAAATGGAAATAATTCACATATTTGTTAGTAATTTTAAGTACTACAGTCACTGCTCTCAGGTTGCCAACAAAATGAGTTAGAAATCTATAATGAAACATTTCATATATAAGTGGACTGATGACAGAAATGAACTAATGAACTGGGGAGAAAAAAAAAAAGAAATGAACTAATAATCAGTCCCTTCTTCTCAATCCCTATCATCTACATTCTGACTTGTGCTTGGATCACGTCATATTAAAAAGATAAAAATGTCCATCTTTCATGTAATATGATGTCATCATTAATCTTTCCTACTAAAGCTTAAAAACTTGGGTGATGAAAATGAAAAATATGAAAAAGTATCTAAAATTGACACTGCTATGAAAATAGTTATGTACTCACAGGACTTTTAAATTTCAATCCCACTTGATCAGTACTAGCTCGGCTATAGCCATATGATAAATTTCAGAAGTGGTGATGAAAAGCAGATTATCACCATGGCTGAACTCAAGGAACCTGTGGGGGTTCCCTTCCAGTTCTAATTCTCTAATGTGAGATTCTATGAATTTGAGCTTATTAGATTTCATCAACTCAAATGTTTCAGACCGGCGGAGAAAATCATCACGTGAAAGTACCACTTCTACTAGGCAAGATGAAGTCAGCAAGAACAGTAAAATATCTAAAGGAAAAAGGTGGAAACTGCTTTATATCCGAGATGTTAGACAACACTTTACCACTCAGGGTACTTCTAGGTGCTGTGACCGAAGATGATTTTGTGACTTCCTTTAAATACTTTAAAACACAATAGTTGATTTAAAATCCTACTCTAAAATAACAGTAATGTTTTAAAGAAATCTTACTGATAACATTAATTCTGGATGCAAAACAACTTGCGATTCTATGCTTACTTCAGTATGTATTCATCATTCTGAAAGCTTTATATACAAATGTGTCACAAATTTTTAAGCCCATTCCTGATAAAAATTTAGCCACTGCTTTCACAAACCTCAAATAATGCTAAAAGAAAACCAACTCCATAACATATTGGTATCTCTAAAAAAAAAAAAAAAAAAGGCAAACCCACTAATGACTTTTTTTTCAATGACTAGACCCTCCCCAAAATATTTCAATGAAGTGTATATAAAATAATTTTCATGAATGAAACTATGTATGTTAATAAGCAATCATTTAAAAATTTTTTTGACTGATGCAAATTAATATAAGCTTTATCAAAATTCTGTGAGTCTGTGAAGGCAGAACACGAAAAAGGAAGATTCTGTAATTCTAAATTTTAAGAACAAATATATATCATAGGCTGAGTCTAGTAAGTAATTTGAGCAGGTAAAAGAGAGTTTTATCTACTGGGGTGCCTGGGTGGCTCAGCTGGTTAAGTGTCCGACTCTTGGTTTCAGCTCAGGTCATGATCTCAGGGTTATGAGACAGAGCGCCACATCAGGATCTATGCTCAGCAGAGTCGACTTGAGATTCTCTCCTCTCCCCCAAATTGTGCTCTCTCGTGCTCACGCTCTCTCAAATAAATATATCTTTTAAAGAAAGATTTACAACTAAGAGTTTTACTTGTTAACTTGAATGTACTTGGCCCATATTAAAATACACTCTACAATCTCCAATTCACTTTTTTAAGGGAACATGACCCTATATATACCCCACTACAAACTGTAATTTTGCATTATTTCATGGAGGAACATCTAAAACTGCAAGCTTAAGCTCACATGGCAAATCTGATACCACCTTTAGTTTTAGTCATTATTAATGGAATTAAAGTATGCTATAATGTCACTGACAGAAAAACAAACACTGGACATACATTCATATGAGGCATCCACTGATCATAAAAATATCTACTCAAAGATACCAGGAAACAAAGCACTCCTAAGTCAACCTCCTCACCATACCTAACTATAAAAATCATAAATGCATTTCACACAATCCTGTACTGTTAGAACAAGAATGACTAGTGACAACTATCTATTCATCTATCAGTAGCTTCAAACTTAATCTCCTTAGAGTAACTTACTTTCCAACCCAGAGAGTATACTTAATTTAAACCACCAAAAAATGACAAATATTGATTTTTAATTGGAATAATGTGCTTCAACATTATACATAAAGTGTTAGTGAAGTGGCAATTTACCTAAAGGGATCACTGACTTGAAAAGCTCTCAAAATCTGAAATCACTAGAGAAAAGGGGAGTTTGGGGGAGAAAAAAAGTTTAAAACATGGGAAAAAACACTTCAACACTCTAAAAACAAACTATTCCATAAATCTTAAGCAGTTGTTCAGTGTGGAGAGAAATCAATTCAAGAGAAACAAGCGTCTTCATAAAAATTATTCTGTTAAGAGAACCAGCTTTGAAAGAGCTAAATGTTTTTTTTCTGTTCATCATCTATAAATGAGGAATCTTCAAGGAGACTGGTGTTGCAATTACAACTAATCCTCCCCAAAAAATTAACTGTGTTGAAGGCTTTGTAATTTCCCTAGGTACAATTTAGCTGTCACTTACTTTAAAATTTACTCAAACATGCGTTCCGAACAGCACTAACTTCACATGTCAAGTGCTTTCCAGCCAATTGAGTCTAAACTGGAAGTCGGTGTTAAACAACTGAATGATTAGACAAGATAGCTCATTTCCCTGCTCTTTTGTTCAGAATAAAATGCCACATTTACATTATCAGGCTCAACAGGATTTTCTGACAGAGGAGGCAGAAAAAACCCTCCTGAACACTGTCCGTACTAAGCACATGAAGCCTGTCATTTACCAATCATCCTTCAAAAAGCAATAGCCATGAATGTAACTTAATTACGACCCAATGATCCTTGACGAAAAATCATCTTATCACTGTCCTGTCCCCCTAGGGCAAATGAACCACTTTTGTCCTTTGGCACTGATGATGCTAAATTCTTAATTGCAATAATGGAGTAAAAGAGCCAAACCTCCTTAATTTCCTTTCAGCACATAAAGAGTTTCACTCTAGAAGGCAAGCATTCCCATAAATAATAAAAGTATCCAGTACAAATGAAGATGCTAAAATTGAAGGGGAGTGTATATGACAGAATAACCAGTATTTTTAAAAGTATATTTCCCATTTATATAACATTTTAAAGTGCTACAGTGAGTTTTAAAACTTTTATGATTATAGGTTCATCTTACAGAAATTGTGACCTTTATGAAGAACTAAAGATTAACTTAGCAAGAGTTCTGGGAGCTTTAAATATACAAAGTCCATGATTCACTTAAACGAAATGCATGTGGGCATATACAGATTATAGCACAAATCAGCACAGAAAAGTCCTTAATGGAAAGCAGAAATTAAAGCTTCTTTGATCATTTGCACTAAATAATCCAGTTAAACAGCTTCAGATATTTTTCATATGCAATGAAACCAAAATGGATAAGCTATAAAACAAGTGAATCTGAAACTACATCATACATATTTTTATGCTTTTAAACCTAATGGCCCAGATTTTATTAATTTTATTTCCTTTACCAGAGCATAAAGACTAATCAAAAGCTCTTTTAACCTATTTTAAAGCATGTTTTTCTTCCATATTATGGAGGACCCAGATATCTTCCAGAATCAGGTACGATTTCAATAAAAAAAAATTTTAAGTAGTTACCACAAAAATGTTTAAAATAACATTCATTTGGACTACACGTAGACATGTGGCTTATGTAATAATCCTAACGTAAATGAAACACATGAAAGTTTTGTTCAACTGTGCGTATCTTTCCATTTAATACAAGTATCCTTTTGATAATAAACAGATGAGTTTACCAACTTCTTTACAATTTTGCAAACCTGTTATTATTTTGTGTTTTCCTTTGCAAATAAACAGAAACAAAATGTATTGTTTTCCACAACCACAAAGCTTTTTATACATTTTCCAACAAACAAACTGACCCAGGATTACTTTCTCCCGTGTTTTATTTACTGCTGGAAAAGTCAGTCTCAAAATTAAGATCTTTCTGAATCTTAAAGATCATCTTTCTAAAAAACCCAATTTCATGGATTTGTTCCAGAATTATAATATTTAAGTGACAGTCTCTTTAGAGATTTTGCAGTGACATTCCAAAAAGATGCTTGTCTTTGAACAAAAAGATGAAGATTTTGTATGATGTTCTGAAATGCATTTCATACTTTTATCTCAAGTCTGAATAAATAAGGCTCATTCTCCAGATGAGCTCATACCTGCTGAGGTCAATTACATGATATTATTGAAGAGTAAACATATTCAATCAAATCAAGTACACGTGGACTTTTTCGCAGGCTAGTGTAGTTAACCCTTGTACTGCACTCATCATGATTCTGAATCATTTATCTTCCATCAGTTAGGGAAAACACAACTGAAACAAAGTTTTCAAAGACAACTTTTCCCCCAACTTATCCCAGACTATAGGTGCTACTACTGTTTTCTGCTATTTTATAAACATGAAATTTCCTTTATCTCCTCCTCATTATTCTCATGACTCTATAACAATCAACAAAACCTTTTTATTATGATAAACTGAAAGATCCGGCCATGGAGATTGCCCCTGCAAAGCAAAGATTGCAAAAAAAGACTAGGCAAATCAAAAGAGCAGGTAATAATTTCTTGATGTATCTGAAAGGAGTTAAGAAATCATAAAAGAAAAAATACTAATTTAGATTTCTCTAGCCCAATTAATAGGGACAGCCATATTTTACTGAGACATACAAATCTCTGACTGTACTCTATAATCAGAAACACGGAGCATGCTGCAGGTTAACATCTGAATCCCATGATATTTCCATTTTCCTGTGGGTAAGCTCTCCTTGGTTCATGAGCCCCATCTGCAGACCTCTTTCAGAAAACTTTCGTTGTCTTCTCTGTCTTCAAAGTATTTCTATTCGTAAGATACTTTTCTACCATGGCCTCATTTTCATTGTTAATTATTTTATTTTTGCCCAGTAGTGGAGGAGGGCCTAATTCTTCTGGGCACTGGGCCCATTTCTTTCAAATCCCTATGCAGAGCTCCACATGCAATTTGCAGAGATGGGTCTTTCAAGCAATCAAAAAAATTCTGGTAGGAAGCATATTAATTATAGGATTTCTATATAAAGTTGGCTGTGAACATGAGAACTCAGTAACACACTAATTGTCTGAATCACTATTTCTTTAAAAGGATGTAATGCTGAGATTGTAGAGGTTAAGATGTGGCCAATCATCTAACTTGATGAACTATTTTTCGACTGGATGGCAAAGAAATTATTTCATCAAACATATATGTGGATGTATCTGTGTGTGTATAAATATGTATACCCACATTTCCTAACATGGAGCCGAGATGATTTTTATTTCCCATTTTAAATTCAATACTAAACCATTCATTATATTCAATTAATTATACCCTCTAATAAATAAAGAAAAACTACCAGAAATTTGGGAAGAATATGAGAACCATTAAGATACAACTTTTACTTTTCTCTTGGCATTGACAGGGCCACATCCATACTAAAATCAGAAAAATCCCATACATTTATCTTTTTTTTTTTTTTTAAAGATTTTTTATTTATTTATTTGACAGAGAGAGAGACAGCGAGAGAGGGAACACAAGCAAGGGGAGTGTGAGAGGGAGAAGCAGGCTTCCCGCGGAGCGAGGAGCCCGATGCGGGGCTCGATCCCAGGACCCTGGGATCATGACCTGAGCCGAAGGCAGACGCTTAACGACTGAGCCACCCAGGCGCCCCCCCATACATTTATCTTGATGAGCCCTCAGCAATATAAGAAGTGTTGAATCACTACATTGTACACCTGAAACTAATATAACTGTATGTTAACTACACTGGAATTAAAATAAAGTAAAATAAATAAAATCAGAAATCCCAATCACAAAATAGGCAGATTAAAAACTGCATTAAGCCTTGAAAAAGATGACAAAGAAGAAAAATCTAGGAAATTAAAAAAAAGGAAAACAAATGCAAAAAGAAAAGAAGATAACAAAGAGTGGTTAATGGTTTTACTAAAATGTTTCACTCATTACAAGAGTGTAGGGTTGATCGTTATGATTTGCATTACAAATAGTATCTTAAATTGGGCACCAACTTGAGCATTTTAAATGTAAAAAATTTCAAACTCCATAAACCTCATCATATCAACAAAGTTCATCTTCCTCCCTCAAGGCACAGAGACATCTTCTATAGTATTAATGGAAGCTAGAGTCACTGTATTGGCACATGCTATTAAAATCAAATACCACATGGAGAAAAGGAGAACCAAAGAGGATGCTGCTACATTATTACCTGAATGACAGTCATGATGCATAATCAAAAGCCCCAGAGAATCCTTCCTCCTTATATACTAATGATTAACACCTATAAGGCTCAAACTGGGAAAAATTAGATTCAATTTCATGTAATATCATCACACGCCCCACAAAAAAAATCAACACAGACCATTCCCTTGAGAAGAACCCACAGGACCACAGGGTTGCTGCTCATTTTAAAGGTCAACCAGTCCATATTAAGTCCTCTTATTCCGTGGCAAATAACCTCCAAGGCTTCCAAGCAGCAGAGTACTGACAAAATATAATCCCCAAATGATCAGACTCATTATTTTAATGCCAACATTTAAAATTCAAAATTCAATTAACTTACTTTTCCAGATACAGAGTGACCAATGGGGAACTTAAGGCAGTGGATGGTTTTGCTAACCCTAGAGTCATGATGGCTTCATGCAACTGTTTCACTGTTTCAGTTTCACCTCTTAAAGCTGCGCCATTTAGGATGTGGAAAAAGGACAAGACTGTTGCATCTTTGATAACAACATCCTTCTCTTTCATCTCCTTTAGAATGTTAATAGCATCTACAATGAAGTAACACAAAAGACCCTTAGGTAATTTCATGTAGGGAAAACAAACTGCTATTAAAACAGCATTTCAAGCCCAGCAGGAATGTAAATTCTAGTGTATAATGCCGATTTCAAGTTAATTACTACTTGCATTTCTAAACGAGACTACAATTATAAATCCACAATAGCATGGTTTTATCATTTCCCTGCAACTTTGACTACAAATTATAGATAGGGACTGTGTGCCCACTCTGCACCACATAACCCTGTACGGTCTGCCCTATAGCTGTAAGATCCTCCTAAATGGATGCTTTTATCGTTCAGAGCTAACATCTGCTAAATCACATCATTGTTTCTTCAGCAGATGGCTTGTCAGGAGGCCAGATAATAAAGATGTGTTTACACTGTATATACAGCCAGACTAATGGTCTGATACCGATAGGGCCTGTTTGCTATGTCGATACTAATTAGCCAAGCAGAGCCAATGAAAGCTTTCCAAAAGACTGCATGTTAATACATTTGATTCATTAAGCTTCATTAGGAAGGCAGAAACAAACATTTTAGGATATGGAATAAGTGCATTTTTATAATGTTGTTCTTAATTATTGCACAGACAAGATGTTTTGACTGCTTCACAAAAAGTTATTTTAAAAAAGCAGGCTAAACCTTATAGAGTTTTCTCTGTTAGAAAGACTTCCTAAAAAAATCCAGTGTTCAAATCAAGTATTTTCACCACACATTTTTCACTGTAAAATTAAAAAAAAAAAAAAAAAATCGTCTCTAGAAATAAAAGGAAGAGAGGAAGGCTAAAAAAGGAAGTTTCAAAATAAAACCCAAAGAGAAATGTAAGAAACAAGCAACAGTAAGAACATATTATCAAGTGTAAATACTTAGGCTCAGCATGATCTCAACAATGAGAAAATTAGCGAATGCGTCATCAGCTTTATAATCAGTGAGGTTTTCTCTGAAAACTCCTAAATAAAAACTTACTAAAGTATATATTTTTGGTAATGTTATTAGAAGTTAAGACAAAGACTACAGCAAAATTCATATTCTTAAATAAAGGTTATGTTTATAGGTTTTATGTTCAGCCCTCAGACGTTCTTAAGCAAAAACAAAGCCATTAGTGCAGGCACATCAGCAAATTGTGCCATAAGTCATGATCTTCAAACTCAATCCAAACAGCAATGCTAATAAAAACTAGCTGTAGAAATGCAAAAAGCACTGAGCTGTGCAAATGTAAATGACAAGCTTGCCAATCCATTAAAACTAATGGCCTACACTGTCCATGCAGCTCTGGATGGATTCACATGCAAATTTGTATGCAAAGTGTTCAAGCACTTTGCAGGACATGATATACCATTCATATCAATTCGCATGTTATTCCAGTGGCAAGATACTGGCATCACATATTTCCTTTATGTGCCGAGGCTTACCTTGGAGCTTGCCATGTTTTCCCAATACTTTTACAAGGCCTACATACTTGCCAGTGTCAAGGACAGCAGATGAATTTAATCGGTCACTAAAAATTAAAGGCACATTTATATTATGTTAAAAGTTGACTGTGAAAAGAACTGCAATAGCCATTTTATCCTCTTCAAAAACACGTCAGTTGTTCTGAACTGTTATTTAGGCCTCTACATTTCAGTGAAGGTTTATTTTTGAAGCCATATTCAAATTCACAAATAATTATATTCAAAGTGACAAAAGAAGTAAAAATCTACCACTACACACATATTGCATCACCCCATCTGCAAATGATACAAATGAAGGAACTCTTTTGCTTCCCAGCACTTAGGTGATTCTAACTTTGTCATAAACACTGAAATACTCAAAAAGACATATTTTTTAATTAATAACTCTATCAGGATGAGCAACTAAAGATACCTGAGAAATCGACAGAATGTTGTTCACATTACGGTAGAGAAAGGGAAATGTTAAGCCTTACAAAATAGTTACCATCACCCCTTTTATGATATGCAGTTATACAGTCAGTGGGGAAAAAACCTTGGCTTTAAGGATGTCTTATCATACTTAAACAAAGACTCCCTGCTGAAAACAAGACACAATTAATCAAAGGGAGGCATTTTATGAAACTTTAAAAACACTGACAAAAAAAGAATTTTTAAAAATTACATTCTGTAAGAGTAATATTCAATTTATATGATCCATCAAGGACTGTCTATCAGCATAAATGCTGATGATTTGCTTCAGTGCCAGGGTACTCACAGTTCTTGTTTCAGGTTCAATGCATCTTCTGCATTATCATGTCGACAGCACAAATTTATTAAAGCGGCATAGCCACCAACAACCATGTCTGATTCATATTTTGCTTTCAATTCAAGAGCTTTTTGCATGTTCTAAGATAAAGGACAGAAGTAAAAAAGAAGTGATACAAAAGTAAAAATGTCCAATCTCTAGGTTTAGCATTCCGAGTGTAGAAAAAGTTAATAGCACTTTAAAAACATTGGATCCATGTTATTAACTTCACCTTCCTCCTTTGTGTTTTTATTCACCTTTCAAAAAGCCGGCAAGATACGCATGTAGGGTTTAAAAGATTTGTTACATGTAATGCAAAACAAGTTGCTGTGCCAAATTTGATGTTTTTTAGCTTTGTAGGTACTATAAAAAAGACGTCCAAATTAAATATGTACCAAGCCAGCCCCTACTCACAGTCCAATTTCCATACACAGAAATATATATCATGGCAAAGTTCTTCAGAGTCTAGTTTAATATCCAAGCAAAGTGAAAAAATATTTTAGAATTCAATAGTATAATGTTATAATCTTAAAGTCAGTTATGTTTTTTCCCCTAAAAACACAGGCATATGACTAAATCATATTGAACTAGAAACTGAAAAAGTCTAGTGAAATACCACAAATTGCATACACACACACTAAAATGAACACAAAGTACAGCTGGACGCCTGCTGAAAAAAGGCAAGAGACCCTTTATCTCAGAAAGAGCTTTTTTCCAGGAGGAAAATGGAATTTCAATCCCTGCATTAACAACCCAGTAATATTTGACTTGCAAATGACTACTGCATGTATCAGTTGCTTGACAATCTAGATATAAGAGACCGGAGCCATGGCTTGAAAGGACATTTGGCATGTATGATAAACCTATCACGGCTGTTACTATCATTCACTTTGCAGATTATCGTAAACAAACTACAGCAACCTGAAAACATGCCATTCAAGGTGTAGCTGAAATTAGTTAACCTTTCATTTAATTGCATTCTTCACACACATGACATATAATAATCAATTGTGAAAATCATAAATATTATATATGGCTTTGCTTACTTTTATCTATAAAGAATTTTTTTTTACCTTAATAGCACATTTGAAATATTTAAACAAATGTTACCTCTTCTGAACAAAGCGCTAGTATGAGTTGCTTTAGGACATCTCCTATAGGTTGATTTTCAGCTTTTAGTTTTTCAAGTGTAGACTCCAAAACAGAGGACGGCAGCTGTGTAGTCTACAGGAACAGAAAGAAAAGGAAAGAAATTTACTACAAAAAGAAAATGCACCCCTTGTCACTTTTCCCTTTAAGCTGACCTTTACTAGATGTCATAAATGCTATCAAGGACATTAATCTGGGGATCCGTGGATGAACTCCAGGGATTTTTGACACTCCTGGGATACATACGCAAATGTCTTAGATACGCTGATTTGTCTGAGATGGGGAATAGCTGTTACCAACTTCTTAGATGTATACTGATGACAAAAATGTTATTAGGAACCACTGGTTTTATAAGGACACAATCTAGAATTCTCTTTAAATGTGGTGGTTATAGCATGTAGAATCTACTCAAAAAACCTACTTACTTTTCTAGAGTCTATCTTCTCTCTTTCAACCAATATATTAACATCCTAAAATTGAGATTTAAATTAGAATTAGAAAATACATGGAAAAATATATTAGCAAATGTCAAAGGCAAATTTCAAAAGCTTCAGCTCATTTTACTATTTTTCCGTCTTTTCAAAATCTTCCAGAAATTCTACTCATACTTCATTAACCACTGTAATAAATATTTTAAACACATCCTTCAATATATAAACAGTATTTACCAACCATCAATGAAAAGCTTTCTTTTAATGGTTGCCATTTAAGTAAACTGTTTTTGGCCAAAAGCATCATAGTTAAATACAATTTTAACATGCTTTTATACATAAGTTAAGCATTTTAAAAAGTTGATTACTATTTCACACACACCTTAATCAATTCAGGAACATGGTAGCTATCCAGTAGATTACGAATGCCTCTGTAGATATTTTCAGGAATTTTTACATTCTGTGCAAAGGGAAAGGAGGAAAGAAAAAAACAAAAACAGGCTGAGTTTTAGACAACCAAACTGAAATTTGTCTAACAGAAATTAGCTCGGACATAATTTAAGTCTCCAACTCGTGTATGTCATTGAGAAGTGGTCTGGTTGTACTTAAAAGCAGCAATTTCAAAGCTAATAGATACATGTCAGACAGGACAGGCATTATATAGCAAAAAATGAAACGGTACCATCTCCTTCAGCTGATGGAAGTATTGTCTCAAACGCTCCTCCTTGGCCTGTACCTCTGAGTCACTCATGCTGTCAATCAAGTTATAAAGAAAATAGCCAACAGCTTCTGTGGAAAAAAACAAGAGAAAGCATTCCACTAAAATTACTGAGACTGTCATGTTATCAAGATTAATTTATAAGAAATCATTTTGGTGTGAGATGTCACCCTGATGAGAGGCTCTGAAATGGCAACACTGATCACTGAGGCATAGAGATTACGTGGTTTGGGAGCACATATCTAACTGGTGAGTGAAAGGAATATTAATTATTTTCAGACCGAGTGACAGCTTTTCAGTACTGAATCTTACTTCAATCTATTTTTTTCCACCACTCTGTGACAGAAGTGGTCCTGCCCAAGGCCTCACCCCTTTCCTGTCCAAATCACAAGTAGGAAGCATAAATAAATGTCTTGTACAAATTTCTGCACTAATTTTTTTGCGGGCCATATTTAGGGAACACACGAAATTAGAAACGACTGTCAAATGTTGAGTATAGAAAGTTAAATAATTTTAATAAGCAGATACAGTAATCCTGTGGAGAGCTGCCTATTAGCCAATGAAAAACCAAGATTAACAAAGATGTTTTGTAACAACAGTAATTTTCTTCTGCGTTCAAGCATAAAATGTGTAGGGCCATGTGTTAATACCTAGGATAGAAAATGTGAACTTTCAAGAAGGGTGTTTTCTTAAAGAAAACCATATATTCTAGGCTTCATTATATGGAAAACAAAAATCATTAAATGTCAAAATAATGTATTTTGGATAATAAATTATATTTAAGTAGGAAAAAAACCTAAAGATCTCGTTTACTATTTTATACATTTAAAATTAACTATACCTCCAAAACATTAAAATAACAAACACTAAGAATGACTGGTCGTTAACCCTATTTTCACAGGTGCTGTAAGAAGCATTTTCCTCAGTGTCTAAACAGGAAAAAGCCTCCAACCCTGTCTTTCAAAACAATTATGATGATAAAACCAAACACCCCAGAAATCTCAAAATGTTGTGGTTATCAATATAAAGATTTATAACCAAATGTTTTCAAATTTCACTTTTAAAAAGAAAATGTCTACTGCTGTAACCCTTCTAGCCCATCATTACACAGAAGAATGGATTTGTGGGTAAGTTACAATCATCGAAATTGAAACGCTACCCGCTGGTCCTGGAGGCTCTTGGCAATACCGTCCATCCTTATACAACAGTTCTGTTATCTGGTAAGACAGAAAATGCACGCATTGCAGCAAGAGAAGCAAACAAGAACAAATACAATCTGAAACTGAATTCTTGAAATAAGAAAGCCTCTCCCCAGTAAGGTATTATTCTATAGCACAGTAATTCAACACTACCCCCACCTGCCAAGGAAATTGTTTTGTTTTTAAATAATAGGTTTGTCTTTAAAAGCAAAAACAAAACAAACCCATGTCGAAGGAAAACTACAATGTTTCATGAAATGTCACTAAGAAACCCTCTAAATGGATTTGTTTATGTATTGTTTTAAATCAACTGTTATAAACAGGAAATAGCTTTTAGGAATTATCAACCAGTATTATTTCTCATCAGGTTGTTTTTGGTCTTGTTGAAATTGGACCCGTTTCCTCCTTTTAAATGAAGTATTACAGAAATAATAATGTAAAACATGGTGGATCACTAAATAGCTTAATTTTTCTTAGTTTTTTTCCAATGACATTTTCCCAGTTACTTTAATGGCATTAAAACCAAAGGGGTCAAAACCTCTTTTGGGCTTGTCCTCACAGATCCCTAGCAGTTGAATGCACAAATACTAAAAGACATACACAACACGTATTCTTCCACATTAATTCTGCCGGCAAAATTTTAACTAAAGAAATCCAAATATGTATTTTGTGATGAAAATGGTTACAAAACCTACAGTACTGGCCTGTAACTTTTGAACACAGTATCTGACTATCCACCCTTGGGTCTGACGACAGTAAGAACGGAAACATATGGCTCTTTTCCAAAGTGACATGAGTTAGGAACTCTGAGCTACTTTATGTGTATTCTACGAATGAACTTATTTGCTCTTAAAATAGTACCTGGCACATATTACAAGTGTTAACAACTCAAAATGCAATTACTTCTACTACTATTAATTTGCTAATATAGAAAATTTGGCAAAATTGACCATATCCCACTTCACTCCACCAGGAAAATCATGCTGCAGTTAATGGCAATTCAAAGGATAGTTAAGGTAGAAAGTACTCAAAGCAAAAAAACAATTCTCAGCTGCAAACTTTTTTAACCTGTACAGAAGGAAGACAATACATTCTACCAGAAGTTACAACCATACAGTAGATCTAAGATAGCTACATTTAATACCAAATTTTGAACAAAAACACATTTCATGAATAAACCGATAAAAACTCTTTCTAGTAAAAAAAAAAAAAAAAAAAATCACTTCTAAATATAGATTTCCCGATCATAAATTATAACTGACTGTAGGGTTTGGCAGTATAATACTTAAAACAGAATTCAGTCAAATTTAGATCTTAAAAAATATTTAAATTGGGAATTCCAGTTAATAATGTACATTCTGATTTTACTTAGCTACAACTATTTCTTGCAATTCAGCATAAAGATAATTGTACTTCCTGCATAAAGGCAGTTAACTTAAAAAAATAGCAATTTAAAATTATCTATGTATCATTCATATATAGATAAATATGTATATGTATATAAATTTTAAATTAGTTATTAGATCTGTAAATCAAATGTCACTGCAATAATGTTAACAGCTGTCCTTCGAAAAAGTTGAAGACCTTATGAAGAATTTAGGACTAAGGATCGCTTCAATAATAAATTTCATGCTCTAGGAAGACAGTTTTAAAAAACTACCAATTTCAAGATTCTAAAGTCATTCATTTATAATAGCACATCATAAATGTATGAAGCTCTTACAACTTTGGCTCTCAATAGCTTTTTATATATCACCTTAGGAATTGCAGTACTTGGAATACTTACCTTGCTCCAAAGATTTATATCCATAGACCTGCAGAGGGCAGCAAAGGATTAAAAATAAATACAGAGGTTTAAAAAACATTTTAAGTTAAAACACACTAGCAGGATTATATGCAATGTATACAGATCAAAGTCATAAAATAAGTAACTAAATGTTTCCAAAGTTAAGCTGAATTTTCAGGACACGATAATTTAGAAAGACTGATTCTTACTTTGAACCATTAAAATAAAGATCAGTTTGGACAAGAATCAGTAAGAACCACCCCTAAATCTTTGGGTCCAAGTTTGACAGAGCAGGATATTTGCATACTCTCAAAGCATCTGCCCACAGACTGCTTATCACTTGTAATGGTAAAGACAGAACCCATATAATGGAGAAACTGAACAACATCTTCATTAGGTGATCAAAATTAACATCACTAATGAGACACTGATGGACACTGTATGTTTTTTAGATTTAATTCCCTGAGGACAGAGTATCTATCACTCCTATGGTGTCCCAGGCAGTAATGGACTTAATCAAGGGGAACCACTGTAAGGAACGTTCTATAAATTAACTGGCCTGTATTCCCCCAAAATGTTAATGTCATAAAAGACAAAAGCTGAAAAAGTGTTCCATACTAGAGAAAATTAAAGATAAACGACAACGAACATCAATCCCTAAAGTAGATTCTAGAAAGGAGGGGGAGAAATACAAAAAAAAGAAAAAAAAAAATTGATAACATTAGAACAAAAAGAGCTATAGTAGACAAAAATATTCCATCGATGCTACATTTCCTGAATTTGTTAACTGTGCTGTGGTTGTGTAAGAATATCCTTATTCTGGGGCCCCTGGGTGGCTCAGTTGATTAAGCAACTGCCTGCGGCTCAGGTCATGATCCTGGGGTCCTGGGATCGAGCCCCGCATCGGACTCCCTGCTCAGCGGGGAGTCTGCTTCTCCCTCTGATCCTCCCCCTCTCATGCTCTCTGTCTCCCATTCTCTCTCTCAGATAAATAAATTTTAAAAAAAAAATCCAAAAAAAAAAAAAAAAAGAATATCCTTATTCTGTAGTGGGGCCCCTGGCTGGCTCAGTCAGTAGAGCATGCAACTGTTCTAAGTTCAAGCCCCAGGTATGGATTACAAATTACTTAAAAATAAAATCTTAAAAAAAAGAAAAAAGAAAAAAAGGATAGCTTTGTTCTGTAGAATTATATACTGACATATTTAAGCCCAAAGAGTTAAAAAAAAATTATCTATATGTGTGTATGTATTTATGGATTGATAGATGGATAGAGTGACAGACTCATTCACTAATGAATAGTGATATGCCAAAATGCTAGAAGTTAGTAAATGGGGTATACAAGAGTTCTCTGTGCCATTCTTGTAATTTTCTGTAAATCTCAAAATTATTTCAAAGGAAGAAAGAACGGCTGATCCAAATTGTTCCTATTTAAATGAAAAGCCATTTATAAAACAGGATAACCAGTGAACACTGGTCTTACACTATTTCTAAGCTTTGTAAACTTAATATAAGTTCTGTATATTTATTTATTTAAGATTTATTTATTTTGATTTGAGAGAAGAGAAAGAGAGAGAGCTTGTGTGCACAGGGGGTGGGGGCAGAAGGAGATGGAGAGAGAAACTAAAGCAGACTCCACACAGAGCATGGAGTCCGATGAAGGGCTCGATCTTAGGACTCTTGAGATCACGACCTAAGCTGAAACCAAGAGTCGGACGTTTAACCAACTGTGCCATCCAGGTGCCCCATATAAGCTCTTTATATTTAATTTAAATGTCATCTACTTTAAAAAGACTAATTTGTGTTTTAATGGTAATTTTATAATGTAAAAGTAATATAACTTATTCAAACTTATAGAATATATTATAAATATTTACATCATAAAATGCCCACAAAATCTAGAAGCCTTTATAAACCTATACCCTTATAGGCCTTTTTAGGCCTTATTGGCCTTTTAAACTTGAGGTTAAGCAGCTTTGAGTGAACTGAATTTTGGTATAGTGAGTTAACAAGGCACTTATTTTTATTTTAAATGGGGGTGCTTGGCTGGGTGAGTTGGCAGAACACACAACTCTTAATCTCGGTGTTGTAAATTTGAGCCCCATATTGGGTGTAGAGATTACTTGAAACAAAATTTTTGTTCACAATGAACTACTAACACATGCAACAACTTGGATGGGTTTCAGGCGCATTATGCTGAATAAAAAAAGGCCAGTCTCAAAACATGACATACTTTATGAGTCCATTTATATTATCTTTGCAAAGTAACAAAATCATATAAATAGGAAACAAATGAGCGATTGCCACAGGTTAGGGATGGGGTGGAGGAAGTGATAGGACTACAGGTGGTGGTGGTGGGGGGAGGTATGTGTAGTGATAGAGTAGTTCTTTATCCTCACTGAGGTGATATTAGAAAGCTACACATGTAATAAACGTCAGAACTACACACACACACACACAGTACCAATGTAAAATTCCTGGTTTTGATAATGTACTATAGTTATGTAATATGTAACCAGTGGGGGAAAATAGGACACATGCTCTCCACCCATCTCTGCAACTCCCCGTGATTCTATAATTATTTCAAAATAAAATACAAACATGTTCCATGCCCCTCTGGAATCCTCTTCCTTATGATGAAATCATCGCTCCCACTGATGCACATTAAGAAAAAGTTTTGAAAAAGATGGATTCTTATCTGTAGGTGGGGAAAAATGTTTATGAAGCCCTATGTTTAGTATAGTGTTTATTTTGATTTGAGAAAAATTTTTTGAGAAATCAGTTAACAGAAGAAATGATAAACTGACCTAAAAAGCATAGCTCAGCGCTGTGGCAGAAAACAATCTCTCAACTATTACAAGTTTTCATCTCGCCCATCTACTGATTACAGAGCAGCCTCCTCTGACTACTTGACATTTCCATATATAAAAATAAAAGGATAAAAAGACTTTTTTTTTTAATTTTGCGAAATAATAAGTGAAAAAGTGAGAACTCAAGATGTGAGGATAAAATGCTGTGTAGTGAACAATAAGACAAAATAGAAGTCTATATTGATAAAAAAATAAGGCATCTTTTTTGATCAGGCTAGGAACACCTTTAATTCCAAGGAATCTTAATCTACAGGTGCCTACCACATCTAAGGAACGGCGGGGGGGGGAGAGGAGGGAAATCAGAGTTTGCAAGCAAGAGACCAATGCCCAAAAGTTCATAATATTAAGTGGCAAGACTTACAGTGGTTTGTTAGCTTTCTGGTATCATGGACCCCTTTGGGAAGCTGATGAATTCCCCTTATCAATTACTGTTAATTTTGTCACATGTGATAATATTACAGTGGTTATATTGTTGTATTTAAAATAAGTTCTAGGGGCACATGGGTGGCTCAGTCGGTTAAGCATCTACTACTGATTTTGGCCCAGGTCATGATCTTAGGGTTGTGAGATGGAGTTACCCATCTGCTTGAGATTTTCTCTCTCCTTCTCCCTCTGCCCCTCCTCCCCTCTCCCTCTCTAAAAAAAAATAAATAATAATAATAAATAAAATAAGGGACGCCTGGGTGGCTCGGTTGAGTATCCAGCTCTTGGTTTTGGCTCAGGTCATGATCTCAGGGTTGTGAGATGGAGCCCTGAGCTCAGTGGGGAGTTTCTTGAAGATTCTGTCCTTCGGCCCCTCCCCCAACTCACATGCTCTCGCTCAAATAAATCTTTAAAAAAATAATAAAATAAAAAAATAAGTTCTGAGATGTATTACTAAAGTATTTATACAGAGAATGACAAGAGATCTGTAATTTAAACAGTTCATCCAGGGATAGAAGAAGGGGTTGGGGAGGAAAAAAATGAAACAAGATGGCCAAAATCTTAACTACTGAAGCTGGCTGATGGATACTTTTCGGAGTTCTACTTTTTTTTTTTTTTTAAGAGATTTTTATTTATTTATTTAACAGAGAGAGAGAGAGCACAAGCAGGCAGAGCGGCAGACAGAGGGAGAGGGAGAGGGAGAAGCAGGCCCTCCGCCGAGCAGGGAGCCTAATGCGAGGCCCGATCCCAGACCCTGGGATCATGATCTGAGCCGAAGGCAGCCGCTTAGCCGACTGAGCCACCCCGGTGCCCTGGAGTTCTACTTTTGTGAATGTTTGAAAACTCCTATAGTAAAACACAAACACATACCATCTCTGGTCTAAATGCTGTACCTCTCAACATTAATAAGCTGGGCTTCCTTTTTAAGAAAAGCTACTTAATCATTATCTTTCATTGAACAACTTAAAAAATAAAAAATATTAAGATATTAAATTGCCCTCAAACCTAGCATTAAGTACCCAGGGAAGGCATGGAGATAAAACTTCAGAATTGTATATATATCTCTGAAACAGGTGACAATGACTAAAAGCCCTACCTTGAATGTGACCTTCAGGATAGATGGCACAGGTTCAAAAAAAAAGTACAGAATCTTTTAAAACTAAGCTTTTGTAAAGAACAGTCAACACTTCTTCACTGCATGTTCACTCCTTAATCCAATGCAATCTAACTTCTGGCCCCAAACCTCCACTGAAAGTACTCTTGTTAAAATTACCACTAATCTCAACTCAGAATTCAACTAACACTTTTTGGTCCCCTTTGACTAAGTTCTGAGATTTGTGTTGTTGATCATTCTCTGCCAATCTCCCACTGATGCTACTCAATCCCTATCAGACATTCTCCTTCCCCATCTGCTCCTTAAGCAATCCTCCATTCTAAGTTCCAAGTGCCTTATATTCTTTTATTTTTTTTTTAAGATTTTATTTATTTGACAGAGAGAGAGAGAGAGAGAGAGCACAAGCAGGGGGAGTGGCAGGCAGAGGGAGAGAGAAGCAGCCTCCCCAAGGAGCAGGCAGCCCGATGCGGGGCTCCATCCCAGGACCCTAGGATCATGACCTGAGCCGAAGGCAGTCACTTAACCAACTGAGCCACCCAGGCGCCCCTTATTCTTTTATTTTTAAGGCAATCCTGCATGTAGATACTTAAATTCCTTGTTTCACAGAAGAGGGAACAGACTTAG